ATGAGAGGGCGAGGTCCGAGGCACAGTCGGGGTCGACAGAAGCTGATTTTATACTGAGAGACAAGACGGAGTATTTCCGCCCCATTTGAAACGGCCGATGTCATATCGCCGAATCGCAAACTTGTAGTTTATTAGCAGTATTAGCACGCTCCGTCACTCAATACCGTGATGTTTCGTGGCGTACGTAGAGGATCAGGGTTTAGGATTAGGTATTTTGACACGGATTCGAATCCAAGCTTGTGCTCTTTCTTTTTTCACGAATACATGTATCTTTACCATTTTTAATCAGGCATGCTGTCATATATTTGCAATTGAAATGTTCCTTTTTATATGTTACGTTATGGTTTTGTCCCTCAAAAAAGTGATTATACGCTCGGATATGGCATTGACCATTCAGAGATCAGACATGGCATTGACCGTTTCAAATGGGAACGACCGTTTACGAGACGGAAAAGCGCAACGGAGTGACCTGACACTAGACTAGACCGGGTCGGCGGACGATTCACTCTAGATCTACCCCAGCAACATCTTACCATTGACAAGGCTTTGTTTGTGTCAGGAAGATCCCTCTTTGTCTTCCTTTGCTGGTTTTTGAGCTTGACTAAGCTCGAAAAGATATGTCAACAAACATTCTTGCATAAACTACAAAACGCTTTAAAACTTCACACCACACCATGTATAAATTATATGGTCTACAACGGTAGACAAACACTACAGTATATGGACAAAATCGTCGAAGTGCAAATATGTTTATGCTTGAGTTATGTGTAATTTGATGACGATGACAGTGGCACAACATGGGGGTACCTGGCCAATGATAACGGATGTGACCACATTTCCGGCGCATCTGCATACTCTGTCACGCAAGGTGTTAGAACCACTATCTGTCCCACTGCATGTTTCCAGTTTTGTATATACAGGTGATATATGGGCAGCCGTGTCACTGTGTGGTCAGACGGACATGTGTTTATCACTAACAATGCAGGGTTGTACAGACAGGTGTTAGCGGTGTTTGTGTAAAAATTGGCGGGTTTGGACACCGGAGCGGCGCTGTTTGTTGACACGGGGAGGGGGAAGGGGGATTCTTACCTGTCTGACAATCGGGATAATCTTTAGGCTGGGCAAACACAGAAACTCGAAGAAAGCGGATGTTACGCGGGAAAATCGTCTTAGGTAACACCGGATTCGTACGGTTATTCGAGGAAAGGAAAGTGATCTCGATCCAGTTTTAGCTCACTGAAGAGCTAATCTTCCACTGGTCGTGACAGGGAAGACGGACGCAATGTGCAGAATTTTTCAGGTTCAAATTTCCCTAGCTCTTTTCCGGCCGACTACAATGAACAGTGGACCACGTCCTAAGGACTGCGACCCTTTCCAGTATCGTGTATGTCGGGTCAGCGACAACAGCCGGGATTCGAACTCCAAACCTCTTGGTCCAGAGGTACGGCTACGCAGGCTACCACAAGAAAGGTTCTGTGCTATATATATGTTTATTTAAAAGGCTCACCTTTCTCCCCACTTCGTTGTTGTGCAAGTTCATCATGCTCCGAATGTTCCGACTTCTCTTTTTCCTCCCCCGGGAATCTGCCGCGTCCACAAACTTTTTGCTAAACTCCATCCCGAAGACGATGTCGTCCGAGCACCCTCCCCACTTCCACCCCTCCAGGTCGCTGCCCCTGGGGGGTAAGGTGTCGGAATCGCCCGTAACGCGTCCGCAGGAGCAATCCGTGAGGTTCCCGGCGGAGCAGGACTGAGTGATGGCGTGCACGACTGCCGCGCTGGTGATGGCGTAGATGAAGGCAGTCTCTCTCGTCCCTGTAGTAGTAGTGGCGTCGTCAGGGGTAAAAACAGAGAAAAAACATCATCATTTATCTCTCATAGATATAGCCCCTACCAGGCTTCAGAAGCTAGCCTGGGTGCCAGCCGTTTTGTAATGGGACCAGAAGTCCTGTTATAAAGCGGGTGGCAATGAGCAAGGAGCCCCGTTACAAAACGGATGGCACCCAGGCTACTGGAGAGGGTACTCGTACAAGCCAAAATAGACAGAATGAGATAACATGCTAAAGAGTGGCAAATTGTACTCCTTTGGCTAACCAAATCCTCCACTCTTTCCTGTCGCTTCTGAAGCCTGGTAGAGGCTATTCGTAGGTACTAAGACTTTGCATTTTAATGGTATGAGGAGAAACGGACAAATAATTCATATTCGGTGGGGCACAGTAAAACAACAAAATTTACAAGAAAATCTAAACATTTCGTGGAGCTATGAGATCTCCGAACTCTTGTTACTACTGTGTATTACCCTGTCGCAAAACCGTCCTACGCAACGTGACTCCGTAGAGGTGACAGTCTTCATAGATACAGTAAAACAATAAAATGTTCAAGAAAATCTAAACATTTCGTGGAGGTATGGCATCTCCGAACTCTTGTTACTACTGTGTATTACCCTGTCGCAAAACCGTCCTACGCAACGTGACTCCGTAGAGGTGACAGTCTTCATAGATACAGTAAAACAATAAAATGTTCAAGAAAATCTGAACATTTCGTGGAGCTATGAGATCTCCGAACTCTTGTTACTACTGTGTATTACCCTGTCGCAAAACCGTCCTATGCAACGTGACTCCGTCGTAGAGGTGACAGTCTTCATAGATACAGTAAAACAATAAAATTTTCAAGAAAATCTGAACATTTCGTGGAGGTATGACATCTCCGAACTCTTGTTACTACTGTGTATTACCCTGTCGCAAAACCGTCCTACGCAACGTGACTCCGTAGAGGTGACAGTCTTCATAGATACAGTAAAACAATAAAATTTTCAAGAAAATCTGAACATTTCGTGGAGGTATGAGATCTCCGAACTCATGTTACTACTGTGTGTTTCCCTGTCCCAAGACATCCTACGCAACGTGACTCCGTAGAGGTGACAGTCATAACCTCCGCTAAGCCGTGACGTAAACACCACTGTCTGTCTCTGTCACACGGAAGACAGAGGCACTCAATGGCAAGTGTCACGTAAGAATGGAAGGTTAGTCTGACGGATAGGTAAGCTACGTGTAGGGGAACAGGTGATCAGGAATGCCGCGGTTCTGAGCTGACACTTGGCGCGAGAATGTTGAGCTATGTGGAGTGTGTTTGTCAGGGCGGGCACACAAACTGGCAAGAGGAGAGGTAAAGTTAGACTGGGTGCCAGACTGTCGCCAGGGCTAGCTCTAGGGCTAGCTCCTCGGCTCCAGGGTGCCAATGCACACTGGATAACTTTCAGCCTAGCTTGCTGTGGGTCTGGCATCCAGGCTAGGGCCAGTATCCACAGACCAGTATGTTCCGTTGTTCCCAAAGAAAATTTTACCAAAGACCCCCTCAGTTAGACCCCGAGAAGCATAACAGCCTGCTCACTCAAATTTGACTGCCAAGACCACTGCCGACCTACTCCCAACCATCAGCCAACCAGTTGCCAACCTTGCCCAATTCACCTCCCGCCCACTCCCGAATGATTTAATAAACATCTTGAAATACGTGCAGCCGAACAGTAGCCAACCTCGTCGAACACCATGTACCAGTCGACCGACCTTGCTCCCGACCTATTCCTAACCATGGTTGGGGGGAGTTCGGCAGTGTTCCATATTCGGCTGTGTGTGACGATAACCAAAACTGAACATCTCTCCTTTTTACTGTCTGCTGTCGGCATGCTGGGGCACAGAAGAACCGACCGAATTAAATCAATTCAAGACACGCTGTCTCCCCGCCCCAGCCCTGTCACTCAGGCGCTCAGCGGTCAATTGGTCCAATTCGCTCCGAAATTCCCCGATGTGGCATACAAATTACACCGACAAACTTTCAACCCCAGCCCGAGCTAGTATCCGCATTCCAGGTGTATCTTCCTCCTAACACCACCGTCCCACCTGAAAACTAGTCCCTTTTCACGGGCTAACCCGAGATAACGCTACACGCATGTTGGACATCAAGCCTATAAGACCCCCTCTTGTTACGCCTGTCAAACTGCGCTGGTACTACATAGCTCGCCAGAAGGGCGGGTAAGTCCTGTAAAGTTCTTGCACACCCAACCGTTCAATTGTAACGAGAGAGAAAAAATGACTGTCCCTAGCACCCAAAATAACAGAGGCTCTGAACTGTCACTGAACAAAATATTGACGACTTTCCGCATGTAATGTTTCAACGAATTACTAACAACGGATTCTGTTCGCAGTCTCTAGAACAAATGCAAAGCAGCCTTGTCCAGTCTCTGGCCACAGCGTGACAGCTTGGACCGGGCTAAACCAATAAATCCCCCCCGATCCCACAAAAACGAACCACCCTCATCTCCGCCACTCCAGGTCTGGTTCTCATAAAAATCAGGTTGCGGCGAGCGAGATCTGGGAAGTTTAGGGCGAACATGAAATGTAAACACGCATAGCCGTGTCAGCCGTCATGTGGACCGTTCACTGGGTAGTAGTCCCCACCAGACTAACACAAACGCGGGTTCAAAAAACGGTAAAATTTAGCCAAATAGGGAGGAAAATAATTTGGCCAAGGGTAGCGCAGCCTAGTGTGAAACGAAACCGTAATGGTGGACCCACTCCCCTGGCCAGTTAGACCCAATTTTTTTTGGAATTCTAAGATCCTAACTGCCCATACGGTTTACGAGGTACGGGACTGAGAGAGAGAGAGAACCCCCTTCATGAAGGCCTGGTGGAGGCTAGGTCCACAGCAGTGAAGGCGGAGACGTGGTCTGTATGACAGGGGGTGAGAGTTTCCCTCTCCTCCCGAGCTGACCCCGTGTCTGTTTTGTATG